CAGGAAAAAAAGTCTGGTTCCGCTCTGTTTCGTCTTGATTATTTATGTAAATATAAAAATGAACACTAAGGTCAACAGCAAGCGGCGCCACCACTCTTACCCATTAATATTCCACACGTTAAAACTATACTTATATCATTGAAATATATATATATTTCTATTTCTATATCTATATCTATCTATATCTATCTATCTATCTATCTATCTATCTATCTATCTATATATATATATATATATAATTTATGAAGAACTTGGTAATCCGTATGGGTAATCCCGAGGAGGATGAAATCCTGAGAGCTCAATGTAAAATTAATTAATCCCTCCCGATACTCTACCATGTCTATTTAACTATCCCTCTTACGCTCTCTGTTAAATTACAAAAACTTACACTACCCATCAATTTTAATTTCATTTTTCGTTTCATTTCATTTTTGGAAGTGCTATCTTTTTTAAAGGACACTGGTGAAATAAATTATTATAATGGTACCTTAAAGTGGTCTGTTTTTCATTTAAATTTAATATATATATATATATATATATATATATATATATATATATATATATATATATATAAAGAAAAAGAACACTAAGATGTATAATCCGGGGTTCTTATTGATATTTTTATTTTTACAAAATAGTGCTCAATGTAAATTTACAGAGCATTAATATTATAAATTTACTGAGTCTCCAAAATTCACTTGGGGATGAAATGAAACTAATGTTTTTAATTTAATTACAAAATTAAATTTGAAGGCTTAGCTTCCATTTTTTGAAAAAAATGGTTATTACTGTCTAGCAAAAAAAAAAACATCATATTTTAATTCAGTTAATTTATAATATATATATATATATATATATATATATATATATATATATATTTGAAAAATGATTATTATATCTAGCAAAAACATATTTTAAATCAGTTAATTTATAATATATATATATATATATATATATATATATATATATATATATATATATATATATATATATATATATATATATATATTGTGTATATTTAGGCATTTTTCATTTTCATTTATGCATATATTTTCATTGAGGCATGTCTCATGAAATAATATAGACAAGTTTTGTCTATTTTAAGTAAGTTTCTTTTATATTGTCTGATAAGCTTAATAACATTATCATTAAAAGACGAAAGGGAATCACAATATTCATATATGCTTAAATCCAATCTAATCTTTCGGTTGACATAAGATGACAATTAATTTTCAATATATCACATAAGATGACAATTAATTTTCAATATATATATCACGGACGAAACAATAGTGATAGTCTGTTTTTGTTGTATGAAAAATTTAGTCGTTGCTTTGAAATTTTTCAAGCAACACAGACTATCATTATTGATTCGTCTGTGTATTGGTTGATATATTGAAAAGTAATTGTCATCTTTGTTAATGGCTTATGTAAGCTTAGATTGGATTTAAAGATGTATCAATATGGTGTTTTCTTTTGTCTTTCAATGATAATGTTATTAAGCATATCAGTCAATATGAAAGGAACTTACTTATAATAAATATACAAACTAGTCTATATTTTTTAATGTAACATGCATCAATATATATATATATATATATATATATATATATATATATATATATGTGTGTGTGTGTGTGTAATTCGGGTTTACAGAACTGTTGGTTTGCCATCTTTTTTTGTACAACTCAGAGTCGTGGACTCAATACAGGTACCATACACGCTAACTGGATGTTTTCCATAAAAGATGGCTGAGTGCCATCTGTGGAGTTAACCTTCAAGATAGGATATCTAACGTAGAGCTGTTTAACAGGTTTAATATTGGAGGAATCGAGACTCATACAATCTCAGTAACGATGGATTGGTCATGCCTTGAGAATGCCTGATGACAGGATACCCAAGATCCTAAATTACAGCCAGTTAGATCAGGGCTACAAAAATGTAGGACGACCATGGCTCAGATACAAAGATAAGCTGACGAGCAAATTGTCAGCTGTCAATATACCTCATATCACCCTCGAGCGCTTAGCCTTGGAGCGGGTAGAATGAAGATCAACGTGTTTTAATGGACTCAGTTTTCAATCTACTTGTCTGAATCGTTTTCAAGAAGTGAGAGCAAGATCTAAAATGTCAGCCAACCTCACAGCGATCTCATCCCACAATCCTCACTCTTGCTTCATATGCGGCCTCGTTTGTGAATCACTATTTAGTCTTAAGTGCCACAAGATTATCGCACAAAATTTCATAACTGAATAAATTGGTTAATTGTCAGGTCGACCTCATAGAGTCGAAATCGACGGCATATATATATATATATATATATATATATATATATATATATATATATATATATATATATATATATATATATAATCCGTTGTTATATAATCCAAGTGAATCCTAATAATATAAAATGCTAATAGATTGAGCTCTTTTTGTAGATCAATAGCCAACCATCATTATACACGAGTCTTGAACAATGCACGTCTAATCAGATGTTCATATTTTGGACTATTGCCGCCTTTCACTTCTGTCATCCGCTTCGACTTCCAATTGTTGCATAGGTCCCATACGTTACCCTCGCAATTTTATCGTTGTCTATTGAGAACATAATGTCCACATTTGATCATGTGTGGTTGACAACGTTTTATCACAAATATTTATGATATTGTACACAAGTACATGAACATATAGGAATAAATACCAATCAATAATTAATACTTCTTCAGGTGGTTGGAATGTCGAACTGAAACCTTTATTTCGCTCAGTGCGATAGATTGTTCTAGTTTCACGTGCCTTGACAAATGGATGTCACTTATCGCTTATCTCCTATTAAATCCGCTCTCCAAGTTCTCCGACGCCTTAACCAGGTATTGAACTCACACTCTTTGGGTCCTGTCACTGGATCTAACTAACGCCTTTATCCACTGTGCTATGTGCCCTTGATAAGTATGACAAATAAGATGAGGATGATTTTACGAACAATGTAAATAGTGTACATAATACCACAGCTCAGAAATATAGACCGTTTAGAAATGCATGCATTCAATATTACTGTTTCATTTGGTCTGGTGTTTCAGCAATGTCTTCAGATGTTTTTTTGTTAAAATGCAAAGAATAAGTTGAAATGTTAACTGACGTGACATCTGATATTCAGTCACTTTCCCCTAAAGTAGCTTCCCTGATAATTATTCTGATGTGAAGTCTCATGGTAACGGTTCGAATGAACATTCCTCTATGGTACGTAGACATTAAGCGAGTACTAAGCTGACGGCAAGTTTTATCATTTTACCGGTCAAATGGCTAGATGTAAGCCTAATTTCCAAGCTAACAACTTCTCTCGCACTTCCTGCTTGTGAAAAGTTTCTTCCTTTTAAGTCAACTTTGATGTTCCAAAATTTAAGAATAATTTCAACCGTTATCTTCTGAATTCTTAATTCCGGTTCTTTTATTGTTCTTTCTGGACGCACGGCTTTTTCCTTATTTAGTTTTTCCTTTTCTACTAATTTATTTACAGTAGACATTCAATAATTTCCTAGTAATGCTTTCTAAGTCTAAGTCATACAGAGAGAATTTTAATTAATACATAATTTCAACGGCATTGAAGATTTATTGCTTACTACCATTCCGCGGCTTTATTGCTTCAATTAGTTGCATGGTATCTTGAGATTCCTATCATGAGTCTGCATATTCTTTTTATTCTTTTATGTGTCCTTTTTCTTCAAGACGTTGACAATCACAGCTCTCCGGAATTTCCTGTCCTTTGTAGCTTTTAGTAACATTTTTACAACTCTCTCAAACCCTGCTCGACTATCCATTGACTCAAATTCACCAGGTAGGTTGTGCGTTGTCGCTTTTCCCATCAGTTTATCCCGTGAGTATCAAATTTCTCAAACACCCTTTCCTCAGTTCCATGCTAACAATTTCTCTCGCACTTCCTGCTTGTGAAATATTTCTTCCTTTCCGTTCTACGTAGATCTTCCAAAATTTAAGAATAATTGCAACCGTTATCTTTTGAGCTCTTAATTCCTGTTTTTTTATTTTTTCTCTCTCCTTAATAATGTATTTTACTATATTCTCTCACACCCCTTCATTCTTAGGGTATGTATTGCCTTGCCAAAGTTGAAATAATTAAAATAATCTTTATTATATATCGCATTTATTTCCTTGTTTTCGAACTGAACATATCTGCAATATATTTAAAGATGTATTGCTAATTATTCTTTCAAACAAAACCTAATCTTTCATTTTTCATTTTTTTCCGAATCCGGTCATAATTTCCACACAATTGGTTTGTTTTACGTAGAAAATTTAAAAATGGTTTCTATTCTTCAATTAATTAATATTATAAATTATATTTAAAATATGTAAAAAATTTAATTTTGGTTGAGCTGAATTTTTCTTTGATTTCTAAAACTGCATGAAGAGGAAACTTACCCTCCAGTATTTTTATTTTTATTTTTATAAAGGACAAATTCATTAATTAAATTCACACTTCGATGAATGAAAAACATAAAACCTTCTGAAATTTCAATAATTAATTAAATTTCCATATTTTCTTTTAATGAATGTCTATCAGGCGTTTACATTTTATTTCTATCAATTTTACAAAAAATTATGTATGAATTGTTACGACGAGGAATTATAATTATTAACCACTGTTTTGTAGAAAAGACTCCCGGCAGCATGTTTTCGGAATGGCTACAATTTCAAACTCTTCAGTTTATTGTTTATTGATTCTATTTCGACAGCTTATCAACACTCCGTAGGTTATTTAAAGTAAGAAAATGTTTTTAGATTGTAAGGATTTTTCTTTCAGATAATAATAGTATTATTGATACAAGTTTTAATAATTAAACTGGGAGGGAGAAGAATTAAACTCATACCTTTCCAAAGGGTAATTGCTCGTGAGTGAATATAATGAACCGAACTGAGATTAGAACTCGGCTCTCCGTTTTAGAATTCCTGGTCATTATCCATTACACCACCTAAAACTTCAAGCTTGCAACACCTGCTATTCCAACGCGGTGACCCATCTAAATACTATCCAGGTTCGAAGTTGCTTAACTGCCATAGTCTTACCAGAATCGGTGTTTCAACATGATGTGGCCGTAAGATTTAACATATTCAAGTATAGTGCCAACCACTATCCTTCTGACATAACATCATTAACTGCACGTCTGCACATTTGACACTAACCTTCTACCTTGAGTGGTTCTTCGGCTTTGTATAGGATGAAAATTAGTATGAAAGTATTCTTTTCATTCAGATTAGCATCATAATTTTCGTTTATACGTTTTAGCAGCTGAACCTTCTTGTATCTCTCACAGGTGCATTAGAATGGTGAGTATTAACTGATAGACTTTCCTGCGTATGACGATAAAGTATATATGGCAGCAAGGCCTCTGATCGGGAGGCCGTCCTGGGTGTAACGATAAACTGCATTTGCGTCCGGGTTAAGACGATAAACTACATCCAGCAGCAAGGCCTCTGAGCAGGAGGTTTTGAGGAGCGTGGAACTATCTCTTAATTGCCGCTGTTCCCAGATCTATCCTTACCCGGGGTGGTAGCACCTGCTAGTGTCTCAGCTATAGTTAACTATACCAGCAACATATTTTTGAAAAAAAATATTAAAAAAATATTATTACCAGCAATACATTTTTGAAGGAAAAATATTACCAGAAACAGATTTTTGACGAAACAAAATATTCCCAGCAATTGTCGGCCTCATTGAAATTGATATACCTTAAAACAAAACCAACAAACCAAACCAAACTGATCGGGAAATTTGGGGGGGGGGCATAGAACCACCTCTTAATTAATGTTGTCACAGGTCCAATCTTATTTGGGATGTTAGCACCTGTTTGATTCCTAACTGTGTGCAAATAATTAACCCACAAAATAGGGTCAAAACACTATGAATGTATAAAATATATATTTTCGTTGCAAAAATACCAGGAATACAATTTTATAGTAGAGAAACATACCAGCAATAGATTTTTGTAAATGAAATTAATAATTCTCCCAAGAAAATTAAATTTCCACATTAAATGGGCCATGCGGAATTGCTATACCGCCAAGCAGTCAAACAATTCCATGATAGGAGATATTCCATAAATATGATCCTTTGCCAAAAGATATTCTTTAAATAGGATAAAAAAAAGGTTGTTTTTTTTTCGCTGACGTCTTTCGTAGGCAAGCGGCCACGTATGCCGGCTCAAACCAAAAACTTCCCTATAAAGTTGAACGCAAGTTTGATCCTTGAAGTTGAACAGGTTTTTGGGTTTGTTTGTTGTTTTTTTTACTGAGATTACTCGAATACGCTGGTCGATAGACGTAATTAACACTGTTTAAAAACCTGGAGACTGTTTCAAATACGAAGTGTCTACTATAAAAAGAAAACGTCTCAAGTAATATATAGGATTTTCTGAAGCGTATCTTAGATGTGGGACAAAGTATGGGCACCCAGTGAGGATCGTACTCAGTCGTAACTGTTTAGCGAGACAAGCTTGTTAATCTTTACACCACGCCGAAGTTCCCCACTTGAAGTAGTATAGTTATTTTCCAAGCGTAGCTTAGATGTGGCACAAGGCCGAAAGTATGCGGCACCCAGGGAGAATCGTACTCACTATTCAGTCGTAACTGTTTAGTGAGTCAAGCTTGCTAATCATTACACCACGCCGAGGTCCCCCATTTGAAGTAGTATATATGTAAAAAGATAAAATGAGTTTTGATCAGAAGGACCTTTCTCGTTGAATGTCCGTGGAAATATCTAAACATTTTGAACAATCATAGAAATTGATAATTTATTTTGCCATTATCTGACTTTTTTTCTGTTATCTCCCATTCGTATGAAATTGTGTTTCTTTCTAAATATATACAGGCAGAGTTGCATTGTGGAGCATTTTAGTTTCGCCGTAAAGATTACAAATGTAATTGGCTAAAAATGTCAAGGAACCTATAGATCCAAAGTAAAATGATTAAAAAGAAAATACAAAACCAATTCTATACTGATTTTGCGGAAATCTCGTCTGTTGCTTCAGGAGGAAGACTTCTCTTAAGTTTAGCACTTACTTTGTACTTTCAGACACTTAACATATACAAAAGATTTGATCCTATAGGTTGCAGGATCTTTTAATAGCACCGTCTGATTTGTATAAATATCCGAAACAAGAATTTGATCCGCTATTTTAAGTTTGGATTTCTTACAGTATATCTATCCCAAGGCTTTCTTATATTGTAGATAGCAAATATCAAATCACAATGGATGACATGAAAAGCGGCTCAATAACGCCAGTTCTATATTTGCTTCTATCACCGGAATCAATATCTAGTTTGGTCGTGCTTTTTCTTGTCTAAGAATCTTAATGTATCTTCTTACGACTACAAATATGTCTGATCTTTCTTTGTATTATTTTTCGTTTATTTTTTAATTTCTTTTTTAATCTCTTTTTCGTCGTGTATGTCTGTTTTTTTCCTTCTCTTCGAAACTATATTTCCTCGTATTCCCGATGTTATCTTTACTTTTGGTTTCAACGTTTCTTTTTATTTATTTTTTATTTATTCAACTTCGTCGTTTTTTTTTTTTTTTTTTTTTTGTTGATTCTATATTTCTTTGTGCTTTCAGGTTTACATTAGCTAACTTAGTCTTTCATTACATTTTCTTTCATCTCTAAAGTGTTGTCTTTAACGTTTCTTTTGTAGACCTTTTACATGTTCTTTCTTTCTTATATTGGGTAAATTGTTTCCTTCTTTCTTTCCAATTCTCCATTGTTTCTCTTTTCTCTCCTCTCTCATTTCGCGTTGTATTTTTTTTTTTTTTTTGTTTGTCGCTCTTTTGTACTTTCTTTCTTTCTTTCTTTTTTCTTTCTTTCTTTTTCTTTCCTTCTCTTTTCCTTTCTTTCTTTTTTCTTTCTTTTTTTCTTTCTTTTTTCTTTCTTTCTTTATTTGTATTATTGATTTAACCTGACTTTTTCTTTCTCTAAACTTTTCTTCTATCTCACTTTCCTCGCGTCGCTTTTTCGTTGTATTATTCTTTTTTCTCTTTTTATTTATAAACCCTTTTTTCTTCGTATCACTTTTATCTCTATTTTTTCGTGTTTTTTTTTAAACGTTGTATTCTCCGTTTTTCTTTTTCATCCTTTTACATTTTCTTCCTTTCTTTTTTCTTTCTTTCATTGTTACTTTGTATAATTGGTTTAACCTGTCTATTTATTTCTCTCGTTTTCGATTGTCTCACTTTTCTCTTATCACTTTTACGTTGTTTTATCGCGTTGTATTCTCCGTGTGATCTTCCTCGCCTTTTTAAAATTTTCTTTCTTTCTTTCCTTCTTTCTTTCTTTCTTTCTTTCTTTCTTTCTTTTTATAGTTGGTTTAACGTAAGTTTATTTCTCTCCTCACTTCTATTGTCTCTCACACTTTTCTCATCTCTTTTGCGTTGTTTTATATAGCGTTGTATTTTTTTGTTTTCTTTCTCTCCCTTTTGAATTTTCTATCTTTCTTTCTTTCTTTCTTTCTTTCTTTCTTTCTTTCTTTCTTTCTTCCTTTCTTTCTTTCTTTCTTTCTTTCTTAAAATTTCGTTACTACGATCTTTCTTTCTTTTTTTTAGTCATCTGTCCTTGCAAAGATCTGTATTTCTTCCCTTTCTTCCTTCCTTCCGTTCTTTCTTTCTTTATTCATTTTTTCTTTCTTTCTTCAACTGTTTTCGTATATATTTTTCATTAATTTTGCTCCATTTCTCTTTCTTTTTTTATCTAGTTTTCCCTCTTTTTCTTTAGTTTTCTTTCTCTCTTTCTTTCTTAACATTTCGTTACTACAATCTTTCTTTATTTCTTTCTTTTAATCATCTTTCCTTATAGAAATTTTTATTTCTCCCCTTTCTTTCTTTCTTTCTTTCTTTCTTAACTTCGTTACTAAGATCTTTTCTTTATCATTTAATCATCCTTCCTTAGTAGCATCTTTATTTCTAACACCTTTCTTTCTTTCTTTCTTTCTTTTTTCTTTCTTTCTTTCTTTCTTTCTTTCTTTCTTTCTTTCTTCAGTTTTGGTAAATATTTTTCTTTACTTTTGCTTCATTTGTCTTTCTTTTTATGTAGTTTTCTCTATTTCTTTTTCTTTATTTTTTCTTTATTTTTATTTTCTTCCTTTCTTTCTTTTTTATTTCTTAACCTTTCGTTACTAAGATCTTTTCTTTATTTCTTTAATCATTCTTCCTTAGTAGCATCTTTATTTCTAACATCTTTATTTCTAACATCTTTCTTTCTTTCTTTCTTTCTTTCTTTCTTGTTCAGTTTTCTTACATATTTTTTTTTACCTTTTCTCCATTTCTTTCTTTTTCCTCTAGATTTCTCCCTTTCTTTCTCTTTAATTTTCTTTCTTTCTCTCTTCCTTTCTTTTACAGATTTTTTTAAAGTTCTATATCAAGTTCTTTCATTTGTGATTCTCTCCAGTCTTTATCTTATTCTTTCCTCTTTAACATTGCATCAATTTCCCCCCCTCTCTTTCTTATTTTGCCAGTTTGACATTTAGCAAGTACAGAGACACGTGCACGCAATAAGTTTTTTTTAACTACTTTCACACTTCAGCATTATTTATTGTTTTTAAAAGTGATGATTAGAATTTTAATAAAACTGAAACATATGAAAGTAAATTTATACATTTTCTGTGTATTTGAGAATTCATAATAAAATAATATGTACTATTTATTTAATTCGATTATTTATTTCGAATTGAGTAGAACTTAATAAAATGGTAAATAATAAGGATTTTCCTTATAGTTAATTCACATATTTTAATAATTTAGTAAATATTTATAGATTTAAGAATAAAAAGAAATTTACATTTCTTTATTTATAAATTGGTGAATGATAAATATTGCACTGCATTCGTTATAATTGTATTAGTTTTTAGAATGTTGTAAATAGAAAAGTATTCTTGTAAATAAATATCTAATAAATATATAGTGTTTAATATTTTTGTTTAAATTCACAAGAAAAAGATATAAATTAACTTTCATTATATGCGTATGTTTCATTCCAATTCTAATATATGCTTTATAAAATAGTAGACATTTCTGAAGAGAAAAAATTGTTAAAAATCGCCGTCATTTTATTACTATGTCATATTGCGGGCACGTTTCGCAATGTTTGTCAATATTTTTATATCAATTTTTTCTTCTATTCTTTACAGTTGATATTTTCATTCATTTCACTTCATCTCACAGTTCTTCTTTTTCTTCTTCTTCTTCTTTTTCTTCTTCTTCTTCTTCTAATCGCTAATCTACATCCTGGTTAAGACGATAAACTGCATCCAACAGCAACGTTTTGAGGAGCGTGAAACCACCTCTTAATTGCGGGTATTCCCAGACCCACTCTGAACCGGTGTGATAGCACCTGTTAGGGTCCTAGCTATGGGCAAATAGTTAACCCCCAAATTGGGATCAAAACATCTAAAAATATGTTTTAATACCAGCAATAGAGTTTAGTAAAAAAATTATCCCAAGCAAGAAATTTTCAAAGAAAAAACATATTACCAGCAATAGATTATTACCAGCAATATTTTGTTTTGGAAAAAAAATATTACCAGCAATATATTTGTGAACAAAACAAAATTACCAGCAATAAATTTAAAAAAAAAAAAAAAGAATAAAATATTACCAGTAATACATTTTCGGGAATAATATTAACAGAAATACTTTCTGAAAAAAAATATTATCAGCAATAAAAATCTTGTCAGCATGAAATAACCTATTGATGTTGATATGCCGTAAAACAAAACAAAGCAAACCAAACCTATTCATTTTTTTTTCATTTCTCTAGGATTCCTTAATTATATTGTTGATATCGTCTATCTTTTTCGTGTGATTTTCTCTCTCTTTTCTATTTTATTGTTAATTTTATCTTTGTTTCTCTTTCTCTCTCTCTCTCTCTCTCTCTCTCTCTCACACACTTTTTTTCTGTTGTTTTCGACGCTATCTTCTCATATCTCACCCTTAAACTTGTAGATTTATGTTTTAATTCCTAGCTTTAGTTTCGTATTATACACATGTTCATTCAGCAATATAAAATCTAATATAAATATAAAAATATAAAAAAAATAATATGATCTCAATTTTCAAGTCTCAGCTGCCATATTCACCTGCCGTATTCAGGTGACTCTTACATTCGATTTGCTTACAAATTTTTAATAGATCCACGAATGTTCATTATGGTAGGATCCCGGCTTACTAACCTTGTGAGTCAATTTCAGGCACCTCAGATTTTTTATATGTTAGTGATCGGCTTTTCTATCGAGCCGGCCATATATTTAAATTTTCCCGACCTTTAATGTGGATTCAGTGCACTGTTAGGATATAGAAGAGATACATGTCATAGGGGTTTTATTGAAAGAGAAAAAACAAAACAACTTTATTTGTTTTTCTCTCTGAAGTTTTGGAATGAGAATTCATCTTTATTTATACTATGCATATTCGGACTATAGTGGTTCATCTGTTTTGATGATATCACAACAGTTCTGTCGCTGCGTCCTCAGTGAGACGTTAGAAATATAGAGTAGCTTTTAGAAGGAATATAATTGTCTAATCAGTCACATGCTAGTTATGTCTAGAACTGAAAGCTTTCTTCTGTTCAATGACTTTTATAAGTTATCCATAGCAACGCTGCACCGGCTCATACGAGAATGTCCATCAACATAATCATTCTGTTTGTAAGGAGAACACAGTTGTTTTCTCTTGGATTGAGATCATAGTGGTTCGGCCCCTTTAGAGAGGAAAACTCTTCTGTCCCTTTTAGTTTCTGCTTCCGTATTTTTTTTTTTTTAGGTATGGCCTCTTTACCTTCCTGACAACCAGAGCATCCACACCCGTGGAAACTGGTCAATATGTGCACGGCCTAGCGAAAGAAAAAAAGTAATTTCTATTCACTTATCTGCGGACGATCAAAGGCCATAAAGTTGATACGTTATTTTTTTTTCTAGTTCTGTAAACCTTCTCGTTCCTTTGGGAAAATATGAACAATCATTTGTTTTGGGACATATGTAAATATTTTTAATATATGTATGTAAGTTACTTGCCTTATTAAATGTTTTGTTTGTTACGTTCGCGTACTTCGTCTTTCTATAATCGCATTCAGTGTTAGTGTATCAATGGCTACGCTCATGTTAATATTAGTACTCGGTATACTATGAAGGCTAAAACACGTTATGCTTCCTAACACAATATAGTCGGTAAACTCTGTGTGGCCGATAACCAATACAAATCAGAATATTTTTGTCACCTGTAAAATATTTTGATTTTATTCAATGGCAATTATTCAATGCGTACGTGAAGAAGGATACTGTTGGGTACAGCAGTCGAAACTTCATATAAAAAGCAATGTTTTTATTTATTAATGACGTGCAATTTAGTCCAGAAAAAGTTTCCAAAGTTTTATAAAAAAAAAAAGTAGGGACCTATTTAGTTGAATCGAATATTTTATGATGTTGTGTAGTTACAAATGGTTATTATATACTGTGTCCAAAAGTTTGTTAAAACCGTAGTATTAATTTTATAATTTTTCTTTTTTTCTGTTTTCGTTGTCGTGTTTTTAGATTTTTATGGATATGGTAAAGATATCTCTATGTTTTGAATTTCAATTAAAAAAAGACACGGTGCAATGCAGGGGTGGCCAACCGTTTGATTCCATGCGCCAATATTTCGTACGATTAATTTAAATGCGCCTCACAAACATTCACTTCCTTTCAGTACGTGTTGTAATATGGACATATTTTAAAGTTATAATAAAATCTATTTAGTTTCTTTTCATCAAAAGGATGCAATGCGCCACTTGTAAGCATCCAATGCGCCACTTATGGCGCATGCGCCACAGGTTGGCCAGCCTTGGTGTAATGTTTAATAAGATTGTCTCTCTAGCTCAAAAAGGAATGAGTAGTGCGCTTGATCCTCAATGTGCGCGCCAAACTTTGTAATGCATTTATGACACTCCCGTTATGGTTAGGACATTTATCACCCTAGATGACTTACGACTGACTAGTAAGATCGTTCTTCTCTGAGTGCTCCATACTTTACATCTTTCTGGTACATGTATGCTACGCTTATTAAATGTGTATATGATATCCTCATATTGTAAACGATTTTTTAAAAATTATAGATGTAGTTCAAGATTTTGTTAGGAAATGCTTTGCTAATGGCTAATAAAAAATGCATTCAACACTGCACCATCTCGCATCCGATCATCGGATCATCATTCTATCTCCCCATTGCCCCAGTGGGGTTAAAATTTAGCGAAGTTTGCTGCGAAGGTCCAGTCTACTCCTCAAGAGTTGTGTCCAGGTTTCACAGAAGCGTGCGAGTGTTGGTTGCAACTGGGCAATTCCGGCCTTCCTGACAGCACGTTGCAGATCGTCTTCATATTGCCGGTTTAACTCGGAAGTCTCTGGATGCTCCTACACCAGGGAGGCCTATTAGCAGCAACGGTTTCCTGGATCTCAGAGTCGACGTTGATTTGTTTTGGGGATGTCTTCAGTTGATCTTTAAAGCGTCAGTTTGTATCTCCGCCTAACGTTGCGAGCTCTCCAAACAGGATGATATGTGGGTGTCAAGTCTGTCGCATTCTGTAGACGTGAGACTCTCCGCGGACGCAAAATCATTACTGATAGAATATATGTCATATATGTAGAAATGAAATGAGTTAATCAATTTCGTATAATTATACGAGTAGCGTAACTGATCACTTTGGGAGGGGGATTGGAATCTGTGAGCTGAGTTTGAGTCTCGCTCTAGAACCGTTGCACTTAATTTCGCACTGATTTTTTGGGGAAACGTAAATCTCCTCGTGTTATGGATTAAGCAGAAAAGGTGACAAGTCTCTGTAAATTTGAGCGGCAACCAACGTACGAGAACGAAAACCTCGAATGCAAAACCACGGAGACGGCTATGGTAAACAAGCTCATTTATCTTTCTCATTAAGTCATGTAAATTCAGAGATATCAAACAAACCCCAAGAGAGCCATGATCGCCACTGCTGTCAATATCATTTAAGGAAAGTTGCAAAATCATAAATGGCTTCTGCTTTTGTCAAGACGCTGAATTCCTTCGGAAATGAAAGCACAAAATTGAAGCCACGAATTTAATTATGGCTTCCTGTTGCTTTTAATGTTGTTTAGCATCGGTCGCTCCAGGTCCATTGTCCAGACATTATCATTCATTGAATTATTATTTAATTCTTATTAGAGTTTGTGTTCCTCCCGTATTGTGTTTACTTTGTTTTTTTTTATACTTTCATAATATTAATTTGATGTTTAATGCAATGTTGAATTTTATCCCTCTAGCTTAACGTGAGTAAAAAAAATTGTAATCCAATGCAATAAAAATGTAAATGGCGCAACCACTCGAATTCAAGAATGCCAGTCTACGAGGGCGCCTAGGTAATCCCTATTGCAGACGCCTGCTCAGGCACATTTGTGTTTGTTCAACACCGATATGTTCCACCTGTAGGCAACTATACTGATCAGACCTTAGTTACACCTTCTGG